AAACCATCCGATACCGTTAACCCGGTTCAGGGCAGGGTTTGGACTCACACTCTCGCACAAACCAGGCATGACTTCACTCACGTCGACTGGTCGACTGGGCTACTGAGCGCGGTTTCGGGTTCAAGGTTCTGGGGTGAAGAACAAATGACCCCCAAAAGCAAGGAGTGATGTCACAAGGACACATACAAATCCCTAAAGTTAAGAATCCCCCCCCACACTCCATCACTTGTCCTTGCTACTGGGCAGACCCTAGGCCCTAGGCGCCCCTGCAGGAGCAACCTGGCTTGGAACCGAAACCTTTCCGCAAGCTTGCATCATGGATGTCGAAGGCTTAAGATTCCAAGTTGAAGGTTTGCGGATCAGTGGTTGTCGTCGTTTTCGTAATCGTACTCGTATTAGTATTAGTATTAGTATTAATATTAGTATTAGTATTAGTATTAGTATTAGTATTAGTATTAGTATTAGTATTAATATTAGTATCAGTATTAGTATTAGTATTAATATTAATGTTAGTATTAATATTAGTATTAATATTACTATTAGTATTAGTATTAGTATTAATATTAGTATTAATATTAGTATTAGCATTAGTATTAGTATTAGTATTAGTATTAGGATTAATATTAATATTAGTATTAGTATTAATATTAATATTAATATAAATATTAATATTAATATTTTAATATTAGTATTAATATTAATATTATTATTAATATTAATATTAGTATTAATATTAGTATTAATATTAGTATTAGTATTAGTATTAATATTAATATAGTATTAGTATAATTTAGTATTAGTATTAGTATATAGTCATAGTATTAATATTAATATTAAGTATTCGTATTAGTATTATAAATATTAATATTAGTATAGTATTAGTCTTAGTAGTTTAGTATTAGTATTAGTATTAGTATCGTAGTAATATATTAGTATTAATATTTTATTATATTTAGTATTAGTATTAGTATTAGTATTAGTATTAGTATTAGTATTAATATTAGTATTAGTATTAGTATTAGTATTAGTATTAATTTAGTATTAATATTAGTATTAGTATCAGTATTAGTATTAGTATTAGTATTAGTATTAATATTAGTATTAATATTTGTAGTAGCATTAGAATTAGTATTAGTATTAGTATTAGTATTAGTATTAGTATTAATATTAATATTAGTATTAGTATTAGTATGAATGTTAGTATTAGTATTAGTATTAGTATTAGTATGAGTATGAATATTAGTATTAATATTAGTATTAGTATTATTATTAGTATTAGTATTAATATTAATATTAGTATTAATATTAGTATTAGTATTAGTATTAGTAATAATATTAGTATTAATATTAGTATTAGTATTAGTATTAGTATTAGTATTAGTATTAGTATTAGTATTAGTATTAGTATTAGTATAATATATTAATAATATTAGTATTAGTATTAATATTAGTATTAAAAGTAGTAGTAGTAGTAGTAGTAGTAGAAGTAGTAGTAGCAGTCGTCGTAGTCGTAGTAGTAGTAGTAGAAATGGTAGTGGTAGTGGTAGTGATAATCATAATAATGATAATAGGCTGTGGTGTATAGACTAGTTTTAATAACAGCACAAAGAACAGCAACACATTGTACGTAAAGGTTCCTGCCACATACATATATATATATATATACAGCTATTTGTATATGCAGACACACACCTTGTAATCTGTTCACATTGGTCTGCCTCGATGGTTCAAGTGTTCACCTTTGAAGACTGGCCCGGATGGCTCGAGTGCACACAGACACACACAGACACACACAGACACACACAGACACACACAGACACACACACACACATACATCCACTTACAGTCTAAGTATAGGGTTGGCATGCTGCAGTATCAGAAAAGGACAGGAGTATCAAAATCCGAAGGTGTTCACAATACATGTCTGGGGTTTCAGCCGTCCTACGGCAGGAAATTTCGTCAAAAGACACTGGGCTCTGCGCCGTAGTGCGCACATGAAGGACGCCCTGACGTGCCTGACTGTTGCATTATAAGGAACCACAAACCCCAAACTAGACCGCATCGTGTCCTCCTTGCGTACCCTATGCCAACCTGTGCGTGCCTAATCGGCTAAGGCTCAGGGGTTTTGGGGGATTTTGGAGGGTTCAGGGTTTATCGGCTCTTAAACTTGCTTACTTACACGCCACAAAAAACAAACATGTCGTGTATCTCAGCCCTAGGGCGCCACTTGGAGCACAGGACACTGGCAACAAATCGTACATCGTAGCGAGGGGGCAGCGGCGCACGACTTGGATCACAGGACACCGGCTACAAATCGCACATGTTAGCGATGGGGCACCACGTGGAACTCAAGACACCGGAAAGAAATCGCATGTCTGTTGAGACCCCCAGACACCGGCGACAAATCGTGGTGTGGCGCCCCTTGGAGCACAGAACACCTTAAACAAATCGTACATCTTCGCGCTGTGGCACCAGTTGGGAGCCACAGTCACCGGCAATACATCCCCGCCTTGGGGGGTCATTTGGAGAACCAGCAAATCGCACATCTCAGCACTGGAGCACATGGTATGTCACGTGGGAATTCTGCAGGGATTCTGCAGTGCCATTCTTGCTTGCAAACTCGGACTCTATTGAATCTATTGCACATGGCCTGGTATGGCACGCAATGTTTTGTCCGCACAACCGCGTCATATGTCACTGACCGAAACACGATCATACACCGACCGGCCTGGGGCGGCGACCTCGACACGACCAGGACAACGACCAACACACGACGGGGACATTGACCCAGAGACTGCCGATACACCGACCGGGACCACCGACCTCGACACAACCGGGACAACGACCAAAACACGACCGTGACACTGACCGAAGACGACCAGGACACCAACCAAGACACGACCGCGACACTCACCGAAACACGACCGATACACCGACCAAGGATAGGACCAGGACACCGCACGACACGAACGAGGACCGGGACACGACCGGAACATGCGACCAGGAACACGGACCGAAACGCGACCGGCACACCCAGCACACCGACCACGACAACATAGGGGCCGAGACACGACCAGAGCACACGACCGGGACACCACCGACCGGGATACGACACCGACGTATCACGACAAGACCCGGACACCACGCGGCCGGAACCCCACAACCGCGACTCCAAGACTGGGACACCGATCCAAATCGACAGAAAATCGTGACCCCGGCTGCCGACGTTTTGGGCGCTTTCCCCCCAAGACCGGGTAAGTGATGGACTCGACCGCAAACCTGGTGGTTATTGGGGAAGTCTCCCTAATTAATACTCGCCGTAGCCTTAAGCTTGGCTAGGTTCCTTTGGTAAAAGCCTTTTAATGAGGGTACTATTTGGTGGCATTTACGTTTGAAAGGAGTCTACCGCCACGGAGGTCTGTGCAGATGATAGCACTATATAGCACTCAGGGGCCCGGCCATTGGTGGCATCTGCACAACTCTCTTGACAGTGATGGGGCGGCCCTGCAAAGACGTGCGGACCGTCACAGGCTGTTGGAAAGAATAGAGCCGCGGCATCTCTCGGCAAGAAGGCTCAAACAAATGTTCACCATATTCCAGGACCTGTTCTAGACTCTAAACCTATTGAAACAGGACAGAAGATCTGTGAATCTAATTTCCCATGCGTGTGCTCTCAAGGCTTCAGTGGTGTTCTGATCGGCTGGTACCATGGCCGACGAGCCTTGACCATTTGTTCGATGGTCTGCTTGGATGGTACAGGCACGCCCTTGATGACTTGCAAATGTTTAGGGCGCGCTGTCTTCCAACAAAAATGGAGTGCGATCAGCTATCATCAACTCATAGAGGTCACTGCTGGCCTTGAAGATCTGGATTGGACCCTGCACTTCCTGCCCGGATCGACATTTACCGATTAGGGAAAGCAGCTTCTTCGCTGTGGATCTTGTATCTACACCTCACTCGACAACTGCGTGGCACAGGCAGAATGCACCGCAAGATCGAAAGCCATTGCCGGAATAATCTTACCGTCCAATTCCCAGCTCCACTCCCCCTTCGAGTCGCACGGTGACATGGCGATCATCAAAGACTCCTGCGGTCGAGCCACTGCCTGCGACTCTCCTCGCGTAGGGATGACGGCTGTGCCTGCAAGCGCGGTTCATCGAACATTCAGCACTGTGGCAGGACTGTCTTCCAACCTACTAAAGGCTCGCAGCACGTTGCAACTATGATGCTCTGCGAGACAAGGTGGATGCACCGCGCCTCGAAGAAATCGTCACGGACATGGACTGACTCTGAAGCCGGCATGGCCTCAGACCACGCACGCGATGCACAAGACTCAACAAGGGTCCAGCAAGGGTTCGGAGCTGAGACCCGCACTGGAGCTGCAGCCGATGAAGAGGGTTTCCCAACCCACAACCCGTGATCTCAGCCCACCCTATCGCACAGCGCACGTCATGATAGTCTGTTGTCTGCAATCAACATGCCGATAAAGTGCGGGATTCCAGGCCTTGGGTTGGGGCCATTGGGATGCCTTGGGGCATTTTGAGGTCCCTGGTGTTTTGTGGTTTTGGGCGCGTGGCATCGTGTTTCGGCGTTTCGGCGAAGCTGTTTGTGGTGCGGAGAGTCGGTTGAGGCTTGGAGTTTACGCTGCTAGGGTCTTGAGAGTCTAAACATGTGCGCTTCAGTTTTGGAGCTTTCAGACTTTCAGACGGCCACGGGTCTATCTAGGCCAGTCGGGGCTACATTTTGGGTATCGTTCGGGAATCGTTCTCTCCAAGTTGGGGACGTCGTCGAATTTCCAGCAGTTCCGTCCCGATAATCGCGACACCATTTCTAAACCCTAAACTCACGAAACCCTCTCTTTAACGAAACAAAGAGCTAGGCGTCCCCTTGATTTTACAAGTCAACGCTAGCATTTGTCATCTTCGACAACCGCATGCTTTAAAACCAACATACGATAATTTTTACCCCAGCTCATTGTCGATCGCTGTCTGAGACGCATGTCAGCACATGCGGAGCTTGAAGAGCGCTTCCTTCACATCGCGGCCGGAATGCTGTGACAAAGCCTGCAGCTGCCTGTCTGCTTCTGCGTAGCTTCGTCTGGGATCGTCATCAGCCCGCCATAGGAGCGTGAGGTGCTCAATCACTGTGCTCTGGTATGACTTCGGATCCAGGAGTCTGACAAGCAAGGACACCCATTTCTGACGCTGAGACTTCGTCAGTGCACGCACAACCCATGGAAGAGGCAATGAACACCGCAATACCTGGTACGAGTTCTCCTTGCAAATTTCGGCGGTCTCTGGTAGCCGGTCTGCCATTAAGCCCAGCATGGCTTCCGCAATCAGTCGCTGCACAGATGCGTGGCTGCCAAGGCCTACGTGGTTCTGAATAAGGTGGTGCGCGGACCAACGCACGGAATCGTCCACGTCGTTGCAGTGAACAAGCAAGTCTCGAAGGTTTGCTTGCACGACAACATCGCTTTCTGGAAACAGTTGGGTGTAGTGGCGAGCTTTCGCCAGTCTCATACACCACCATCGGCCTGGGATTGAACAGGCGGGGACACCATTTGGCAAACAGACCTGGTCTCCACGGATCCTGCTTACTATCGGCCAAGAGGCACTCAAAGAACTTCCTTTCCGTGACATCTCGAGGGTCTTTTACGGCAGCCTCATTCCTCTTCCACTTTGCAGAAAAATCGAGAATTGACTCGGACCTGCGCAGTCATGGGTGCACCACGCGTGTGGCCATGCAACGTGCTACTTCGAAGCATTTTAGGATGCACCCAGACCTGTCCAACCTGCCCATTTCGGTCAGGTGCTGTATGAAGACCTCGGTCTGCATTCTAATGATAATGCTTGCCGTGGTCTTCCTGCAATGCGTTGTGCTTTGCAACATGACATACGCAAAATGCGCAAAGCTCCCTGCCCTGGGGCGTCTGGTCTGCTGGGATGTCCGGCGCCACTCCATAATGTCATCCACCTATCAGGGCACATGTACGGGCATCCCCCCAATCATCTGGGACTCTGCCAGATCAACTGCTTTCGCACCCCTTTGCCGCACAGGCCACCAGACGCTACTGCAGGCAGGGCGCGGTGAGGTACTCCAACAAGCTCGGCCTCAGGATATTTGACTTACGCAGAAGTCCGCTCGACGCGCCCTCAGCTTTTTTTGTGCTGTCAAGTTGCAACAACAGCCGTGGAGGGTCGCACGGGTCCAGAGCATTCGTCCCAGACTCCTTCGAAGACCTGGGCTGCACAGCTACGCCGTACACGATATACTGCAGTGTGCCACAGCGATGCGAGCAGCCGTGGCCAAACCAAGGAGACAAAGACTGCCCAGTCGGTGAGACCAGCCGATGTGTTGTGCATACCGACAGCGCGTTACAAGAGACATTGTTCCCGAACCATCCCCCACAGATGACGGCATCAGTTAAGCACTGGCCTCACACAACACTCGGAGTAGTAACATTCAGTAAAGCTGATTCGCAAACTGACTGCTAGAAGATCAGTTTAAGCAAAGCCTACAAGGCGAAGCCGAGGCTTGGGTAGAATCCAAACGATTCATCCGAGCTTCTGCGGCACCTGCACCTCGCTCGCTTCCGGCAGCACCGCACCCCGGGAGAGCATTGTCCCCAGGATGCCAGCACCTGGGCGACCCCGCTTGCAACCAGCCATTCTGCACAAGAGCCTGTGTCGTTTCCGTATCGGTCTACGGCTGAGGTTTTTGTAGATCAGCGGGGATTCCTCTCTGACCTCTTCGAAGCAATCCAGGCACGCCGATCGCTGATGCGCTCCAGCTGCTGCAGCGTCTCCTCGATGCTGTGCAGCGCGAGCCATGAGGACTCCAGGTCAGTCCTTGTATCTCAAAGCCCATGGGTCGGAAATACAGCCAACATCAACGACAACTGGCAAACGCTTCTATATGCAGGAGACAATGCAAGCAATGGGAGATGTAAGGCAGCTTATCCATGCTATGACGGCAAATCTCGACCTGTGCTCTGATTGTGTTCAACCATGATCAGTCAGAACTCCTGTCATGATACTCCATGATGCTGCTCTCCATTGTCGGTTATGATAAATGCCGTCCAGTCGGCACACTTCGAAATTCATCCTGATGGGAGCATCTAGATCCCGCAGCCATCCCCCGATTTGCTTTTGGACTTCCTGAAGCGGACTGAGGAAGATATCTCACCTTTGCGTAACCAGTACATTGAAGAAACCCTTGTGCAGCCGAACGTGCTCCTGGTCAAGAACCCGAGAGATGATTGAGTCTTGCGGGTGTTGTTTTCGACGGAACAGCCTTGCTTCCTTGCATGAGCCGTATTCCTCGCTTTCTCTTTTTCTTCCCTCATGCCTCATTCCTTGTTGGCGGGCTTGTTTGGCTTTCTGCATCCCTCTCTTCCTGCCTGGCCTGTCTTTGCCTGACCGAAGTCCAAAACACACCCGACCAATGAGCAGAAAGCGAACTACAATTCTTGGATGCAAGTGGCTGGAATTCAGACGTGTCTGCCAGTAGAACCTCAGGACGATGGCCAATATGCAGGCGAGAATGGGGGCCCTGGCTGCATCGGTAGCACTACACTAGTTACCCGTAAGTCCCATCCACAGCCAAAACCCTCAGAGCCTGCCTCCGACGTAGACTCATCCTCGCTGTCGGGGCAGAGTGTCTCGGGCGTCCACGGCTCGCCGCCATCCTTGTCACGTCGGGGCGTCGAGGGCCTGAGCTGCTTCACACGAAAGCAAGTAACGGAGGAAGGAAGCGCAGGCCCGCGGACCAGTCAAGAACAACAACGACTGCCGCCCAAGGAGCGGTGCACGGCCACTGAGGAAGAGCTCGGCAACAATTGGAGGTGCGCCCTCCGCTGCCACGGGCTCCTGTCATCATGCCGGCTGTCTTGGATGAGAGTTTGGACAGGTCTGCAATTCTGATGTTCCACGAATACCGATGCTGATCCAAAAATCTCGGACTTAGAAGCGCTGAAGTCATCTGCAGGAGAAAATACCGCAAAAGCCTGGAGCTCGGAGGATAAATCATGAGAAAATCTGCCTTCTGAAACTGTCTGCTGTCCTCGGCAGCACATTTCTCTGCCGGGAGCCGCTCCGCTTTGCATTGCCTGGGGCATGTGCTGCTGGCCAGCATGTCAGCGCAGCTCGCACGGCGGCAGATCGAAACCGAGCATTGTTTAACGCCTAAAGACGGCACAGACTTCGGCCTAAGCTCCGTGGAAGCTTGGGCTTGGGCTTGGCACTGCTGGGCTGAACGCACGCGCAGCCGTGCGGAAGCAATGTGACAAACGCTGCCAGGTGAGGACAGAGTGTTACAATGCTACTGCAAGAGACAGTGCTCCCCGGACCACCCCGCACAAATGAACAATCGGAGCAGCAACGTTCTCCCGAGAAGATCAGTTTAAACAACGGCCTACAAGCGGAAGCCGAGGCACAGCTGGAGCTCCAGCTGCTGCCGTAGCCGCAAGGACCTGAAGCCAAACGCACGCCAACTGGACCTATAGTTGTCATGATCAGCATGCCCTAGATTCCTGCACTCTGCCGAGGCATTCGTCTTGCAGCTCGAGGACCTGGCTCTCCAGCTCTTGGATCCGAGCCTGCAGCTTCTCGCAAAGGTCCTTCAGGGAAAACCGACTTGGCTTTGCTGACGCTACCGCGATCCTTCGTTTCGGTTTTCTCTACGCAGACTTCGCAAGCAGCGGACCAAGCTCACTGTTGTGACAATCTGAATCCCACACCTCGCAGGAGTCCCCCCCCCTTGATTAACCAAGCTTTTCGAAGCACTGGCACCCTCAATCGGCAGGTGTCCGGGCTGCATCCAGGGCTGCCGCTCTGCAACGGCCTGGTCGCAACAGCTTGGGGGCTGGGGTTTGGACTTTGACTCTAGGTTCACGCATCGCACGGAAAACTGCCTCCCCCCACCACCGCCCCCCCCTGCAACCTTAATCCTGCATGTCTGGTGACATTCTCAATATCTGACGCAGGAAATATGCAGGGGTCGCTGAGACATGGGCTTCGCGTTCCTACTGGTAATTAGGGTCACAGGTTTCGACAACTCACGGCCTTTTGTCTCAGCCTGGGCTATTATGAATGATGAATATGTGGGTGTGCCCGTCTCGCACAACGGCGATTCGTCAAGACACATCTCTTTCCAGTCTTTCGAAACGGATAATGCAGCAAAGGAGCAGACAGCGGCGTTCTCGCTGCTGCCTGACGCAATTCCGAAGCTCTCATCTTGGACGTCGGACATGGTCATTGAAAGGCTTGGAAAGATCTGGTACTCGTCGTTCTGAACGTGTTGAATCTGAAGCCTTCGACCCTAAACACAAAGATTGTCGACGGCCTCAAGTCACAGGGTGTCCAGGCATTCCGGCAAGCACGGGTTTGGGAAGGCACCTCACTCCTGTTTGTGCAAATATGAATAAGAAACGGGATTTGCAGATGCCGACATCCGTTGGACAGGACGGATGGACGAAGCTTGGGCACATGTCGAGTATCGCAACTTCGACCTTGCCCAGAAGGCTCTGCGCAGAGGGACCGGGAATGAAAACTCTACAACCGTACACTCGCTGCGGATAACGCCCATACAGCATCATGGGCAAGCGGCAAATGTGTTCAGGCTTCTTCAACCGCCGCCTGCTATGGCCGGGGACGAGCCATTGGAGCCAAGCCTGCGCCGCAACGTGCCAGCGTCGGACAACATCGGAGAACTGACGATGAAGAAGGTGCTGCTTTACATCGGGAGGACGAAAGTTTTGACCTACTGGGCCTTTCTTGTCTTAAGGCAGCTTGCGGAGTAGCGGAGTAGCGACAAGTGCGATTTACGTGGCCTGGCCAGCGGAGTATTTTATACCCCGTTTTAAAATTATACTACTTTAATGTTCCGGAGGAGTAACCGGTGGGTACGGGGGAATGGGGGCCTGTCTTGGACGAAACAAGGAATAGGTCAAACTTTCGTCCTACCTCAGTATGAGGACCACTATGCTCTGCCATGCTCGTTCTTCTTGCAAATTTGCACGTTGAAGTGTTGAATCTGCTCTACAACTTTGCACAACGCTCGTCCCACTTGTGAACGGATCCCTCCTCGACGTCTACATGGAATAGCAATTTTTTTCGCCCAGCCACCAGCACCGGCCTGCGCTTTTTGCGCGCCTTGCTCGCAGAGGTCGCCACCTGGCCAGGCGATTGTCACGTCGTCATGGAAACGCCGTGCTCCGCAGCCCTTGAGGCAGCAAAAAGCGAATTGCTATGATCACCATTCTCAGTCTTCATGCTGCAATGTTGATGCGACAATCGCACCTGCCCAGGACAGCAGCACTCTCTCCATGCTCGGAACAAGCTTGTATCAACTTGGGAGCTCTAGACAGAATACCCTACAGTATCACATAGCCATACCAGGCCACGTTACGGATGCATGCTTTTGCTTTCTGGATGCACCACATGGCTTTCGAAGTCGGCCTATACGGTGTTGCATCGAGAACGTGAGGGTGCAAATCTCTATAGCATATTGCAGCACGAGAATATGCTATGACAGCTATGATGTACTGTGTTGCAATCGTACTACCTGCTCTACTAGGCTGCTCTTGGCCAGTAGCACCGCAGGACGCATTTCCAAGTTGCCACAGCACACACAGCATGCGCGCAAAACGGAAGCAAAAGCCTAGCAAGTGATCAGGAGCACAAACAGGCTTTGGGCCCGGACCTTTCCCAAGCTTAAGCAGCGCTTTCAAAGCTGTCACGGAGGGAGCATGTGAGTCCGATATTCTACAGCTTGCCAAGCCTCCACTGCATAATCGCGGTTTCGTGAAAGCATTACCATGGGCATGCATGTTGTGGCTTCTGAAGCATGGGGTGCTCGGGTTCTACTAGATTTACAGACAGTGGTCCTCCACAAGTCCGGAAAGCTGTGGCTTGCATCTGTTGGACCTGCTCCCTCGGTCTACGGAAGAGTGCAAACGACGCTCAGAGTGGTCCGACATAGCCCGTTGATGAGTATGGCTCATCGTGCAACTTACATCCTCCACCTCGTGCAGTCACCCACTCGGTCTCAGAAGTACTTTCGCTGCCCTTTCCAAGACCGAGGTGCTCAATTGTCACAGGAAGGTCTTGCGGCTCGACAAGCCACCGCCGCCCCGGCCTGCCGGCTGGAAAAGTCTGAAAAGAGATCTCAGCAGGCTGAGCCGCATGTTCAAGCCCAGGACGGCCTGACAGCGAGTCCTGCCAGGTGTTGTCCAGGTAGGCCAGGTCAACGAAGTCCCAAGTCAAGGGATTGCACCAGACCTCAAGGCCCGGTCGCGTTCTCACTGTAACCGCACGTTACAAACGAATCCCACCAAACCATTGCGAGATCCGCGCCTGCTTCTCGAGGAAGGAGGTGTCGGCCGGTCCGATGAGCTTCTGTCCCAGGTCGAACTGTGCGAAGACGTCACGAGAGCCGTAGATGGCCTCAGAAAAATCATGCTGTTCCGTCGCCAGTTTTTAACCCCCTCCGCGAGAAACTCTTGGTGGCAGTGAAGGCGGCTCGGCTTCAGCAGCCTTTTCAAAAGCAGGCTGTTTCAGAGCTGCTCCTCCCCACCAGGGCGGGTGGGTGGGATCCAAAAGCTGCACAAACATCGCTCAGAAAGCATGGTCACGACACGCTGTTCCGTCGCCAGTTTTTACCCCCTCCGCGAGAAACTCTTGGTGGCAGTGAAGGCAGCTCGGCTTCAGCAGCCTTTTCGAAAGCAGGCTCTTTCAGAGCTGCTCCTCCCACTCCACCTGCGGCCGCAACGCGCGCTGCTCTCAAGTGGATGGCCTCGGCCTCAAGAGATTTGTAAAAGCAGGCGGCGGTCTTGATCCGGTTTCGCGCTTGCAGCAGCAAAGCTGGCAGCAGAAAGAATCCCGTCATCTCCTGAAGGTAGTGCTCCAAAGTGACTTGCGATTTCAGCCGCATGCGCCACATCAAGTCGGTAATTGGGACCCCTGGCTGAAAAGCAGCGATGGCCCCTCCAGCTCGAAGCGAAGCCGGGGTGATGGCGGCCGTGGCCGGAACACCCAAAATCCGCAGCAGTCTGCCCCATCGTCTACGGTAAATAGAAGGGCTTTCCGGGTACAAGGCAGCAGAAGCAGGAAGGTTCTCCCAAACAGATAAAATGTGTTCCATAGCAGTGACATCGTCAAGCTTCACGTGCTGAATGCGAGCGGCCCGCCTGCGGCTCTTCGGTGCCATGATGCGCAGGTAGAGCCAGCGGTGTTCCGGTTCCAGGGCGTCGTCGGGCGTGAGCAGGCTGCTCCTGGTAGCCCTCAGAACTTCTCCCGGCCGAGAGACGAAGAAGAACACCGCGCGCGTCGCGGCAGCCCATCTTTTCCAGCCCATCGCGAAAGCCAGTCCTACGAGAGCTCGAAGCAGAGCTTCAGGGACCGGTGTGCGGTGCGACACCGGTTGGAGCTCCTGCCATCTCGAAACCATGTTCCAAGCGACGCTCATATGAGGTCGCACCAAAGGAAAAATCTTCTGCGCATGAGCGAGGAGCTGCCGGTACGATCCCAGAGGGTACCCCGTCTTATAGAGAACATCTCCGTAGTCTCGCAAAAGCAGGCTCAATAGGGGAGAATGACAGCTTGCTCCGTTACGCAATCCCGCAGCCACCGAAGAAAAACATTCCAAATCTGCTCTCTCAGACTCAAAGTGACCTGCTCAATGAGCTCGACGTTCAACAGAAAGCCGTCACGTGGCAGCCGCGCCTTGCGAGGCCCTGGATTTTTTGCTTCCCCTATGCGCCGCGTCCCAGCAAAAGCAACGTCCTGAGAAGGGGGGCCTTGTCCAATGGAGGCCCTCACCAAGCTCTCGGCGAGCTCCCGCGCAGCCTTCTTAGGGAAAGCCTCGGCCGCGCACATGCCAGCGCTGGTGGCCTCCCAGACAAAAGGCGTCGTGGCCTCGAAGTTCCCAGGGTTCGCTCGAAGGAAGAACCTTGTGGGCTCGCGAACCTCAGCGCGCTCTGCCAAGCCAAAGTTGACTTCGAAAACGCCTTCTCCTTCGCCTCTCTCTGCCTGGATTTGGGGGTTCCGTTCTGGATTGTCGGCCCTGCCACTTCCCTCCTCTGGCTCGACCCTGCTGCCCAGGCGCTCCTCCTCCGTTGCCCCCGGCCCTGCTTCTGGACTTTTGACCGCTGGGGCGCTCACCACAGCTGACCCCGAGCAACAGAAAAGGTGGAGCCCGGAGGGGACAGGCCTACCGCCGAAAAGCAGCCAGCTCGGAGGCCATCTGGTAGCCTAGCCTGCAGCGAGTCGTCCAGAAGGTCCTGAGAAGGGCCGCTCAACCAGTCGTAAGTCAACGCGGGCCGCCCGGACACCTCGACCCAAGCCTTTTAGCAACACTGCGGGCGGCACAAGTAGGCGTGCAAGGGCGAGCGGCGGCTGGCCGGCGGCCGCGACATGGCCAAAGAAACTGACAGGGAGAGCAGGTCCCGAAGAGTGCCGAAAGGCTCGCAGGAGCAGGGCCCGTGTCCGGAACCAGAGGGGTGGAAAAGTCGCAAGAAAGGTCTTCGGCTGGGTCCGCGGAGGGATCTCGATGCGGCACTTGGGAAGGCAACGGTAGTCCACATCGGTTCCGGAAGCTGGCCAAAAGCTGAGGCAAGCCTTGCATCTGTTCAGGGAGCAGGTCCAGGTCGGAGAGGAAGAGGCCGAAGAGGCGAAACTCGCCGAACGTACCGGCTTCGTACCAAGCTGGCGTGGGCACGCTGGGAGCGAGTTTGTCTGCAGCGGGTGTCGTCGTCGCTGCGGTCGTCCTCGGAAGCGACAAAGGCAAAGGAAGGGTGCAAATTGAAGAAAATGTAGCCGGGCAGAGAGGCTTGCAAGCGCAGGTTCAGCGCCACAGAGCTCGACCTGCCCTTCAACAAGCAGCAACGCTCCACTGTTTTTCCCAGCCAGCCGTGGCAAGGTAGTCCTAGAGCCGTTTTTCGGCTAGCAGCCGGCCCTGAAAGAGCCCTTCTGTCGGAAAACAGGCCAGGCCACCCTTTACGCCCACGGGTGGAAGTAAAGGAATGGCCCAGTCACCACCGGGTGGGCGGGCGGGAGTCTTGAGCAGCGGCAGGTCAACTCGTTCCTCTAGCAGCTTACGAAGTCAAGCAGCAACGCTCCACTGTTTTTCCCAGCCAGCCGTGGCAAGGTAGTCGTAGAGCCGTTTTTCGGCTAGCAGCCGGCCCTGAAAGAGGCCCTTCTGTCGGAAGACAGGCCAGGCCACCCTTTACGCCCACGGGTGGAAGTAAAGGAATGGCCCAGTCACCAAGGTAACCCAGCTGAAGCCCAAATAAAGGAAGAGAAGAAAAACCACCACCACACTCCTGCCGCGGCTCAACGAGGCGCTTGCAAGAGGCGGTACCAAGCGACTCTTGGAATGCGCCTCGTCTCAAAGAAGATTGCTCGCTGGAGCAGCTCTCCGAAGCCACTCGCCAGTTCTTCAATGAAAACACGCGTGGGTCCAGGCAGCGAAGGTAGCAGGGTGATGGCGACCACTTCTTGAAGGTAAATGTCCATTACCCTCAAGGATAGCCACCTGCCTCTGCGCCGAACAAGCTCGCTGTTTTCAGTGAGACTCAGCATCCATGTAGCACCCCCAGGCCTGAAGGAGCTGAGGTCGAAGAGGTAGCGGCCCGCCTCAACGAGTCCGAGCCGGTCTTGTAGCTGCTCCAGCCTCCTCCTCAACGTAGCGCCAGAGTAGGGCCACAGCTTTGTATAAGCAGGCAAGTTCCCAAAAGCCAGATCCAGGAGCTGGACGATGTCGGAGGGATCGATGCGGGCAGACTGGTGTCTGGCCGCCCTGCCTCTGGTCTTAGGATTCTTGATCACAAGCAAAGCGTGGAAAGTAGCTGGTGCTGCATCACGAGGTAGAACCAGGTCAGCCCTAAAGGCCTGCAGAACTTCTCCTGGACGAAGGAGCCCACACCAGGCCAGTCCGAAGATGGCTGCTTCTACAAGCCAGCCCCATCCAATTGCAGCACTCAGGAGTGCTAGTAATATCCCGTGGGGCATCGACTTGTGGTGGCAGTGAGGCTCTTCAGTCAGCCAAGCAAAGGCAAGGTCCCAGGCCATGGAAAGGTTCCTGCGTATGCTCGGCTTTAGGGCTGCGACAGCATTTATCGTCTCGGAGTACTTATAGTACGGCATCCCAGCGCGGAATAGAGCCTGACCATAGCTAACCAGCAGCTGAGATGCGCGCTCAGCAGGGTCGGAGGGAGAGTCCAGCACTTGCCGCAAAGTCTGGCCGCAAAAGTCCTGGAGCCAAAGGCTGAAAGCATCAGCCAGTCGCAGACGGTTAGATCTGGTGATTGGCCTCACAACACGGTCAGCAATCAACTGCACAGGTTGTCGCCTTTGGGCCCGGTCGATCTCAGCTGGGGTGCTAGGTGCAATCATCGCCATGGCGTGAGCTACAAGCACTAACCCAACCCTACGAAACCAGCCCTCACCAGGAAAGCCCAAGGTGGAGTCAAAAGAGACAGAGAGGAGCACGAAAAGGGTGGCGTACCGAAAAAGGAAAAGGAGCTCAACCACAAGTCCAAAAGCGTGGGAGCTAGCACACAGGCCGGATGGCCAGAAGTTGGCAAAAGAAGGCGGAGGCTCTACCACAAAACCAAACGTGTGGGAGCATGCACGCAATGAAGTCGAAGCAGGGCACCGAAAGGACTCGAGAGGAGAAGGGGGTTTAACCACAAGTCCAAAGGAGTGGGAGCCAGCACACAGACCACGAAGCCCACAAACCGAAAGGAGCGGGAGCTCCTGCGCAACGGTTGGGTACCCGACCGCAAAGGATGCGCTAAAGAGGGAGAAGCGCAAAGCGGAAAAGAAGAGCCCCAGAGGGCAAAGCCAATAAAAGCACAGAGTGGCAAGCTGGCAAAGAAGAGGCGAAGAAAGCGACGCCAGCGCAACCCAAAGCTCGACCACAAGTCCAGGAAAGTGGGAGCATGCACGCGTGACCCCGGAAGAAGCCCCTAAAGGAAGATCACTGCTGGTATTGATGAGGTGGACCTCACAGGAAAGAGGGGCACGAAGCCCGCAGGCAGGTGAGCAAAGCAGTAGAAGAAGGGCGAGCCGCAGCCAAGAAGCAAGTGGCCTGCGGAACCTCAAAGCCGACACAGAGTGCCACTCATCGCTGGACAAAAGATCGTACAGTCGATGAGTCACTGGAGGTCTCAGGTCGACAAACCGGGTGGGATCATCGGCTATATTCAGCCGAGTTGGTGCAAAGCCGTAGGAGAAGAACAGCCCAAAAGCTAGCTGCACTGCAGAGGATCGGCCAAGCGCGTAACCCAGGGCCCGAGAGGTTGACCTGCCCTTTGCAGCAGCGCTCTTCGCAACCTGAGAGTCAGCCATGACATAGATGCGAGAATCAGGTGAGCAGGTGGCAACCTGCCGATGCAGAGCAACGATGACGGCGAGTTCAAGCACATTGATATGAGATGAGCCCT